GCAGAATGAACGTTTTGCGGTGCTGCAAATGCTTGCATTTGATGCGGTACTTGGATTGTTTTGCCACGAGTTCCCGGCATGCAATGCGCGAAAGTCACGTGGTCTGTCAATCTCTATTGTGTTAGCTTGTCACCTTGCAACAGGTGCACTGCTGCTGACAACATAGAACTGAAGTGAAAAGAGCCGCCCTGTGTCACAGCACATGTACGTTTGGTGCATCACTCTTGAACATCCACTTACCTAACAGCCAGTTTGTGCCTGACTGCTTTAAATGAACCTCTTTATAAACCAGTGCTCCATCCAGTAACACTCAGCAGCTCACCCAGTCACTGTGCTCGTCTCCCCATAAAGAGAGTTAATGAAACTGAGGAGCAGCTACATTCACTTGGAGTAATAGTAGTCGTTTTGATTTGAGCTGTTAGGAAAAGAAAAAATTTATAATCAGTTTTTTGAAGATTATCAAGTTTTAATGAATTAGCAGTTAAAAGTTGTTTTATTCTGTTTTTGCACTGATTATCTGAAAGTATGAACATTTTGCAGTTCATTCGGGTTCACTGGCACTTATGTGTTAATGCTTTAATATGTTGAACGTCAGTGAAAGGTCACAGTGTCTGTTATGAACCTGAATTGCAGGACTTTTCATGTAAAGCCTATAACAGGATGAAGACCGCTCTTATTGTTTGTTAATGTTAATATTTCAGAGCCAGTGTTTCTGTGCTGTTTCTTCCTCTTTATCTTTGAGGTCAGTTATGATCATATCATAGCTTCCCATTTCAAAACTTTTCAACCAATCAGATCCAGATGTGTTGGTCTGCAAAAGCAACTAAAAGTACAGTAAAACTATAGTAGTAAGTCAAAATGTATGCTCCAGATTCTGAGTGTTATTATTCTTAAATCATCTCTGCACTTCTATCAGTTTCCCAGTGAAACCAGCACAGAAGCGTGAAGCAGGCAAACTGATCTTCGTCATATTTAAGTGCATTGAGCGGGCATCATGTGTCACATGCTGCCTGCTCTAAGCTACAGGGAGTGTTTTTGTTTGTACATGCATGTGTGACTTCCTGCTTTGTGCTACCTGCAAGGAAGCAACTGTGCAAACTATCCTGATTTCAACTCTGTATGAAAGAAAATGATGTGTGGAGCCAGTTATACAGTGTGTTTGAACATTTTTCATTTTTAATGGTTTGGAAACGTAAAAATGCTCAAAATAAAGTTTTAAAGGTCAGATCTGAATCGGTAATATTAGGAAGGACAATGATGAAGATTATCATTTGTTTTTATCGTTTTATACTCAGGAACATGACCTCAAAAACGGAATCGAATAAAACATTAGCATTGCATTAATCATGTTTCACTTACATTGCTCTTAAGAAAATGATCAAACGAGGCAGCGCCAGGCGATGCTTCTCTAACTGCTGGGCTTCCTCTCAGACTCGACTTAACCTGTGTACCGTAGAGAGTTAATCAGCAGAAGAGTTCAATTCTAATCCCAGGACGGGCTCGCCGTGTGACGGCCCATTGTCTCGTACAGTATAGCTGCCCCTGCAGTCTTCAGCAGGCAGCAAACTTAAACCTCACACCATTTAAATGGTAATCTGTCTCTGGGCTTTAGAAGTCCTCTATTCACCATCCTGGGAGAGGCTTTATGCCACACACCCCCACCCCCCTCTGCCTCCTTCTAATTACTTTTAGTACATGAGCCCGGCAGCCTGCTTATCCAGGCCCCTCCCCTCTCTGGGAGGCTTAGCTCTCACCTCAGTCACATATCTCTTTCTGATGAGCTGCCCCTTCAAATTATACACGCACCAAAGTTTAATCCCGCTCATTTGAATAATAAAGATTATGTTACTGTGGTCTGTTTGTTGTCAAAACACTGAGCCTTCTAATCAGGAAGGCATGACTGGGTCAACCATTTACAACAGCCACAGTATCAGGTTTCCCCAAGCCAGCAGTGTGTGCGTGTGTGTGTGTGCGTGTGCGTGTGTGCGTGTGTGTGTGTGTGTGTGTGTGTG